TGTTCTCATAAAAAGTATTGCTCCTCATTTAATGCCTTACCATTCTTCATGTATCTTTAGACGTAGCTTACATTCTCCTCTTTCTTCTTCTGGTTCTACATAAGATATACAAGGATAAGGTAACAGACCAATAAATGTTAGAGATAAAAAGCATCATTTAAAGTATTGTTTAAACCACATTGTTTCTGTGCTGGTGAAATACCCACTTAATGCTTTTGCAGCCTGGCTGCAATTTCTCCAAATGATGTCACATCCACTTCAACCCAAAATAATAGAAGGTTCTCTTCATATACCTTATTTCCACATCTTCACTCTAACACACAGATTTTATTTCCTAAGCAGAGAATTACTACAACAATCAGCTTTCATTCCCTCCAAACAAACATTCAGTAAATCTGCATCCTATGTATTTACATTTTTCCCTTGTTTCTTTTCCCAAATTTCTAGCTATTAAAATGTGGCTGGGTAATCCTCATTTTCCCACTAATGTTGCAAGCTTTACTATCAGATATTTTCAGACTAAAAATAGTGTTCACGACAGCATCTGCTTCAAAGTTATATACAGAAGCCAACTGTCACTGTACGAATTGTAGCTGTAAAAATACTTGTTTTCTATTTTTGCCCCTTCTTCCTATCAGAAACTTAACTATTGAAGCATATTTCAAGTGAATCCAAATAAATCTTAGCTGGCAGATGTTTCACCTCTGTCCTATCATCACACTGACTACAGAACTGCTCAGGGAAATGTGCAGCTAGGTGGCAGTGTGCCAAACTAAAGAATCAATATAAAAAGTTGATTTCTAAAGATGTGTGACATAGCATGCCTTAAATAGCATGAAAACCTAAACAAAAACAATCCATAATAAAAAAATAAAATCACCCATAATATTATTGTGGTTGAAAAGCTGTAGACAGGTGGTAAATTAAGCCACAGCAATTAAAAGTCCTGTATTTCGTTCTGGTTCAAGGAGTGACTCTGCCCTAACCATCCTATATTTTGTGTACCAGCTTTTACCACTACGTAAAACAGAAACAGTGTAATCTGCCTTGGTCTGAAGAACACTGTGTGGCTCAATTAAGGGATACAGATATATGTACATGTTTAAGATCCTCAGCTAAACATGATAGTTAACATGATGCAAATGACTGTGAACACACACTGATAGGAAAATATGGAATCAAATGAACACAGCATATAAATAGCCTTCTGCTGTAAGTATAAAAAGTCTATATAGTGATAAACCTTAAAAGACATGCACCGTTCTTCAAGGCTAGCTGAAATAAAAGGATAAATCAGGTGTTCTGCGAGGAGGAAAGGATCCTTCTGCTCAGATCCCTGAGCAGTTGCCATACTGCTCTACAGTAAAACAGCCTAAGGACTGTGGAGCTGCACACATGCCTACTGAACCCTTTCAGTGTAATGGCTTCAACACATGCAGTGAAGAATTTCTTATCCCAATAGGCAGAAAAAGAAATCCCACTACGCACAAGAGATTTATTTTCTCCACAGTCTAAACACACAGTTGTACTTACTGCCTTCTAAGAACCTACCCTTCACCCATAGGCAGGAAAGGAAAAAACATGCTACAGTCAACTGGAAATTATCTTGTCCTTTGCTGCAGTGCTTTTTATTTTGTCTCTGTATTGGATTTGCCTTAATATTTAAAAAATAGCAGCTACCTTTGTTAGTGTTGATCTGTTAACATTTCTGCTTTGAACTCCACTTTAGCTGGGACAACTGATCATTTCAGGATTAAGCATAATTTTCCATTGTCAAATGTTTTAGCCACACTCTTTTTTAAAATAATTTTATCCGGTTTAAGTTTACAAAACCTATATAGCAGTGAATATTTTAGATACCCAGTTTTCTTTTTACAGTCCTATATTTTAAAACCAAATTTCACATAAACTCTAAACTCTGTCATGCTGTAAGTAACAATCTAGAAGATTCATGTTAAATACATATACACACATTATATAAAAATACATATATATATACATTGTGCATTCTTGAAATATGAACTGTTATGCTTTTTGTGTGCTAATAATACATAACACAACATATCATTTTGCTTATTTGTACATAACATTCCATAAAGATATCCTTTATACCGATAAACCTTAGGATCGTCACATCATACGTCATATTCAAAAGACAAAAGTTTTTGCTCAAGACAGATTCAAGACAGCACTCTGCTGAGATCCCTAAGGGATTTGTTTATTGCCATGATGAAAAACGAAGACCACTGATGGCTGTACCATGGGTGTCACTCCAAATGACTGGGACATCATGGTGAGATGTTGGAACCTGTAGGAAATTTTAACAGTCCCAATGCCCTTTTGTAACAGTAACAGCATCTCCCAGAGATGTTACCAAACTGACAGATGTTTTTCCTTTTCCCTTTATGGAGAACCAGAGACCTATGAGAAACATGAAAAGGAAATAACTGTACAGCCTAATTTAAATGCACAAAGGCAGGGATTATCCATATCTGCTCCTATCAAATCCTTCTTTTAATCTTCAAGCTACTTTTCTTTCAAAAAAATCTTTCAGTAAAATTGTGGAAAAGTACATTAAATGTTTTAAAGAAAGTCACTAAAACAAGTGTATTAACGCAAAATAAACAACATTCAAAGGAGGATTTTTACAGTTGAACCCTCACTACTAATTAATCTATGTCTGTCTAACTTCAGATCTCTTGTGCAAGCTGATAAATCCTCAACAGAAGATGAAGAAACAGTATACTCTTTGCTTTCTAGAACAAACAAAAGAAGTGTGCAAAAGCCTCAGATTATATAAATACTATTTTACCACATTCACAAAAAATATTTACTTATTTGTTGAGCACAACTATTCCAAAGTCTTTTGGCACCTCAAGGACTAAAATATCATACAGTACAGATGTCTAATAGAAACTAGTTTGTCCTGGAAGAAAGGAAACTTTTCTCAACTTATTGAACCATTACCATGTACCTATTCAGCAGAGTCAGAAACTCTTTTAAATCTACTAAATTCAGTAACAAAAGTATAGTTGCTTTGCAGAGATATTAGACATGAGCAAAGGACAGTCAAAGGTTTTGGGGTAACAGGTTTCCAGGACACATATGACAGGACAGAATGAAAAATCCACTTCCCGCAGAATTTTTCTGCTCAGGCCTTTCTCACGAAAATTCTATGCTTTTAACCATTGTTGTTATGAACTTAGGATAAGGTGATGCTTGGGGAAAAGCTTCCAGGCTGCCTCATAGACCTAGATTTACAAAACATTCTGGCTTGTCTAACAAGCAGCAGATTCCTTTTTTATTATTTTAAATAAAGCACTTGAACTCCAGTACAAGATCCTTCTGCAGTTCAGATTATACCAAATGATGGTCCAGAGGTGAGAATGGGTATTATAAACTGAGTAGAATGTCTTTTGCTGGCCTTTTCATTAGGCTCTCATTTCAGACTTAATTGTAGATTCAAAGACAGTGTAGCAAAACACTTTTAACTAATGCTCTCCAACGCATACCGAGTAGCCTGACCAACAATTTAGTCACCAGTCTAAACAAGAATTGGGCTGGGACTGGGTTCTTAAACTGGTAGCTAGTCTCAAATCTGGACTTTGTGGTCAACTTTGTTAATGCTGAAAACTGACTTGGAGGAAAAAAAAGCTTTTAAAAAAATGCCATTCTTACTTTCCTTCACTAATGACTTTGGCATACTCAGTCACAGAAGCTTAGCACAAAGGCCACTACCTGAGGAGTAGAAACCTCTGGCAAGAAGCTGAGGGACAGCTCGAGAACTTCCAGTGGCAGGCTCACTGAGAACTCGGTTTCCCTCGGCAGCTTTTCCTTTAGAAAATTGTTGCATGTTGGTAAGCATGAGATTTAACTGAGTGGTCATGAGGCAAGTGAGTGGATTCCCATTGTTGACCAGGACCATGGCTCAGTCTGCAGCTGGGTCTGCACTGACTGACTAAATAAGGCCTTACAAGTTCAACCTCTCTTCCAGCCCACGGGAACACCCAAGGCTTTGTCCTACCAACCCAGAGACACACCGCTAACTCCACTGCCTTGGAACCATACCCCCACCTCCACAGCTGCCCATTCTTCCACCTTCTTGAAATGTCCACTGAAATATCTCCCCTGCCCTCAGGGGAGATTCCCCCTCAAGAAGACAAAACTGAGAGGGGATCTCACTAATGTATATAAATATCTAAAGGGTGAGGAAGATGCCAAGAAGATGGAGTCAGGTTTTTCTTGGTGGTGCCAACCACTAGGAAATGAGGCAATGGGTAGAAACTGGACAATGCTCTCAGGCACATGGTAAGATTCTTGGGGTGTCCTGTGCAGGGCCAGAAGTTGTATGATCCTGGTAAGTCCCTTCCAACTCAGCGTATTCTATGATTATATGATTGTATCATGCACAGGAAGTTCCACCTGAACATGAGTAGAGCTGGTGATCATACACTACAACAGATTGCCCAGGGCAGTTGTGGAGTCTTCCTCACTGGAGATATTCCAGAACCGTCTGGACTCAATCCTGTGCCACGTGCTCTAGGACTACTCTGCTTCAGCAGGGAGGTTGGACCAGATGACCCAGTGATCCCTTCCAACCCGACCCATTCTGTGATTCTGTGAGATCACCGCCCTGAGGCGAGCCCCGAGGCGTTGTGGCCGCTCGCATGGAGGGCAGGCCGGCAGAAAGGGGTTCCCCCCCTGCCTCCTTCCCTCCTGCCCGGCGGGTCCGCGGCCGCCCCCGCCCGCCAGCTCGCACGGCGGCGCGGGCAGGGCCCGGCGCGCTGCGGCGGGCAAGGCTGGGGCGGCGTCAGCGGGCGCGCGGTGCCGGCTCCAGGGCTTTAAAACAGCGTGTAAGCTGAGATGCTACCACAGACAGCAGCGCGGCGGCGGCGGCCGCAGGAGCTCCCCGAGCCCAGACGGGCGCCCGACTTTCGCCCCCGCCGTGCCGCGGGGCATGAAAGCGGCCGCCCCGCGGCTCTAGGTACCCCCGGGGCCCCATGGCGACGTCCCGCGCTGCCCGCGCCTTCCTCTTTCTGCTCCTGCTCTGCCTGCCGGCGCCGCGGCGAGGGGCGCGGGTCGGCGGGCAGCGCCCGCGAGGCTGCCCCGCTCCGTGCCGCTGCGAGCAGGACGGCGTGCTGCTCCGAGCCGACTGCTCCGACCGCGGGCTCACCGCCGTGCCCGCCAACCTCAGCCTCTTCACCTCCTACCTGTGAGTGCGGGCGGGCGGGGAGGGGGCACCGGCGGGAGGGCTCGGGCCGACCCCGGCGCTGACAGGGGGGCTCGCAGGGTCGGTGTGGTGCCGCTGCCCGCAGAGAACACCCGACTTCAAATACGTTTCTAATCGCTATTTAATCAGCGGGCGGGTTGTAAAGCGTTTATAGGTGCCTGGCCATCGCGGTGCCCGGTCCGGCGCCGGGAGGGTCGCTGTGTGATGCCATGTTTGGGGGGTAGTTAAAAGCGATTGCAAGACCAGAAACTCGGTGCGATCCGCAGGGACGTTAATCTTCACCTTTGCTTCCGGGGACAAGGCTTTGATGTGCGGTCGCTGCTGATTTAATCGTTAACAGATCTCCCCTCGGGTGGAGGAAAGGCAGTAAATCAGTCGCGCTCCCAGGAGGCGGCAGCGCTCGGGGACTGCAGTGTCTGTGTCCTGACACAGGTGCCTGTGTCACGATCCGGGCCCGGGCCGGCGCACCTCGCACCGCCGGAGTCCCCCGGCGCCTCGCAGTGTCCGCCTGGCGGGGCATCCCCATCGGGCCGGGCTGCTTGGAAACTCCGCTGCGTCTCAGGCGCTCTGAGTTACAGCGTAGGGACAGAGCCGGCGAGAACGGAGAAAATTTGTATTAACAGAAAAAAACACAAACAAACAAACAAAAAAACCCCCAAAACCACCCAAAACTGTGGTAAAACTTTCTCTCTTTCCTTATTTTTGGTTCAGTGGTCGTCGTTTACCTTCTCTTGGTTTCGTGTGTTGAAAGTGTTGGTGCATTGGAAGTGTTCCTTTAGTGCCCTCCTTGCTTATTCTATAGTTTTTTATGGTTGCATGACCAGTAGGTTGTTAATGTAATATCCTTCATATTCAGCATAAAGTATGTCTGTTTCTAAGTGTGTTTGTCCATCTCTATTTTGCCATGCTGATGACTTGCTTGCTGCTATAGTCAGTGTGAAGATGCTTTCATAGCATTGTGTGTTTGGGGTACTAAATCATTATGAACTCGCTTCTCTCTTAATACCACACTTCAAAAGACATAAAATATATGTTGCATCTGAAAAAATAAAGTAAATTAGAAATGGCTAAGAGAAGTACAAACGTGCCAACATACACAAGGTAGAAATTAAGTGCAACCAATAAAATCTAAGTAGTAAGTATATGTTAGGGGAAAGCTTGATTTAGTGGAAGTAGCATCAATTTATGAAGAGGATGTGGAGCTGAAAGACTTTTCTAAATATGCATGTAAATACTGTTCTGAAACTTGTCTTAAGATCAGTTTTAGCTTATTTTTTCATAAATGTTTCACAGTCAAAGCTATTAGTAATGTTAAGAGGCAGGAGTCAGCGTTACTGAACAACCAATTAATGTAGAGGAGAACTTTGGTATGCATATCTGCCATTGGTTCAAAAAATAGCAGGTCAGGATTTCGGGTATGCATAAGATACAATGTTTTCTGGTGCTTTGGAAAGCCATAAGCAAAAAGGTGAAGGTATGAAGTCAGACTTCAGATGTACATATCCTGTGTCAAGAAGTAGAGGCCCTAAATTCTTTGTTGCTTGGAAGAATGCTAAAGCTGGAAAAGCATGAGAGAACTCACTGTTTGACTATTTTATGAAGAAAAAGAGAGCATATGCATAATGATGTCAAAATACCACTGTTATTGTCTTATGGTGTGGTTCTTATGCCTCTGGTAATTTTCTTCTTGGTAGGATTGTGATCTAGTCTGCACTTTTATTTTTAAATTCTCCTGTCCTTCAGAAGGAATGTCTTTCTCCAGTCAAGAATTCTCTGCTGTTCAGTAACAGACACACTGAAGTGAAAAAACATCACTTGGACAGGCAGACCTTTAAATGACCGAGACTGCATACAGGCAGTATAACAGTATAAAAGACTGCTTCATAAATATAGGCAGCTACACTTGCTGTTTTCCAAATTTACAAGGCTGCTATCATTGGATTGACTAATTATTGCCTAATTATGGAGAATTGTAGTTCCTGCTTGCTTTCCATAAAGAACTGTCAAGTCTCATTATCTGTAGATGGCTAAGCAATGGCAAATTTTAAAATGTGCCTGCTTGTTATAGGGATGTTTGCCTCCCTGAGCTTGGCAGTCACCAACTTGATTATTTTCTTTTCTGTTTGTTTGGGTTTTTTTCCCAAAAAAGACCCAGAATTGTCTTTTTGTGCTGTGACAATTTTTACTTCAGGTCGAAGCAGGAGGTTAAAACTGTGTATTCACATTTAATCTCTCTCCAGAGAAAAAAAATCTTCTCTAGTAGAGTCTCTTCTTGCATCGTAGACATATCTGACCAAAACCAACCTTGTATTAATTTTGAGCTTTTAAAGGTTTTTTTTCCTACATTTCTGACATTTTTATTTTAGCTGAACACTTGCATAGGAGAAGAAAGTAGAAGTTTTCTTGGTGTGCAGTCGAAATTGTGTGAAAAGTTGAAATGCTGAGGCCGTTAAGGTTTGGTTTATGTTGAGACAAATGTGTTCAGAGCATGATATATTATGGTGAGTGAATTTTGCATGTGCAACCATTTTTTTATGATGATGCTCTTGCAGCAGAGCTAAATGTACTCTACAGATGGACCTGCTACACTTTTCTCCATTCTCATTTATCCCAGGCTGCAATTCTTACCTTCCATCAAAAATAGTTTTGTTTATGGTTTTGTGTTTACTGCCATAAACTGTTAGATTTTTTAAGAGTAGGCAAGAAGAAACCATGAGTTTCTTTCCGTTCCTTTTTTTTTCATTTACTTTTAGGCTAAGTACATTAATTTACTTTTAGGCTCACTGTATTTAATGCAACTCCTGTTGACATAAATGAGAATTCCATGTGCTGATGAAGGGCAGCACTGAGCCTCTGTTTCAAATTAAGAACAGGTTGCTTTCCTATCAGTACACAGTGAAAAGAAGAAGAATTCTGAAGCCAAACCCATGAGTTAGTGAAGTATTGCTACCATTTGCTGTGATGTGGAAAACTGAGGCAAAGAAGGGCTTACTCAAAGTTAAAGTTTATTGCAAAGCGATTAATTAAAGACAAAATGCCTTATCCTAACTCTGTTGTTTAACCACAAGCTCATCCTGCTTAATTACTCATTAAAAATTGTGTAAAATCTGACAATTCCCATTCAAGACTATTCAGTATGAAAACTATCTCATGTGATGACAATATGGAAGACAGGTCTTAAAGATTTTGAAGTTCTCTGTTAAGGGCCTGGATAGCACAGAAAACTAAATTTATTATGAATGCCAGGGCTGTTTAACAATTTGGATGCTGTATTTGTGATCAAAATGCGTAAACGATGAGCAGAATGTTTGCATAATGTTACTGTCTTAGGTTGACGTAGACATGCACGCATACATGTATAAATATTGCAGGATTTGCATTTTACATTATAGTTGACTTAAAAAGTTTAAATTTGAGTACATTGTAAACATGTATAGTAACGCTTGGGGAAATATGGTTCATATAATAGTTAATTGTTCATAAAAATTACTAAGAAAAATTATTTTTCAAGACTTTGATAACATTAATATTATTACAGTAGAACCTATGGAGAAGAAATCAGTGCATATTATAAGGTTCCTAACATGTTAGCGTTTAAGTAAGTTTTGATCTTCTGCTTCATTCATTGCCATAATATTTTGTTTGTTGATAAATAGCCCTGTAGAGCACGCTCTGTAGCGTATATGCAAGTGTTTAAGACTACTAAACATAAAAATTAAAAATAAAGAAATTGGCAGAAAAAATTACTTTTCTGAAGGTTAAGAAGTATGTTCCCAAAAATGAATGATGTTTATGAAATCAGAAAGATAGAAATTTCTGTGTCAAAATTAAAACCTGTGCTTTGGGATAAATTTGCATTTTAGTCATTCTGATCTCACAGTCAAACTCAGGTCTTGTGTCTTCACCTAAGGTATCTTGGGAATGACTATGTATTTTTAAAGAGATGAAATAGCAAGACATCTTCTTATGAAGAAGTGAGATTTATAAAGTCTCTTACACCTTCCAGATCCCTTGGCAAGATTTAGAAGTTAGGTATTTCATAAAATACTTGTGTATTTTTTAGAAAGTACTTGTTTACATAGGTACAAACTTTATAAGCCGTTTTTGTGCCTTAAATTAAATGATTGTCATGTGTTTTGAGTTAATAATTTGAGTCTTGTCCTGATTGAGGATGAGGGTGAATCCAGGTTCTGGATTTGGAATTTAGTGCTAAATTTCTCTTTTGAAAAGGAAACCGAGTATTTCCTCTCTACTCATGGCTATAGTATGCTTGTAAAGGTAAAATGTATCTGTAGATAAATTAGGGGTAAATGAAAACTGAAGTAGTAAACTATATAAAGTTCACGTTGACCAGTTTTCAAGAGGTTTGCTTTGAATTTCAAAACATAGTGTGTCAAGTCAAAGATAGGTTCTTTGAGAAAAAAATTGGATTAAAAATGTATTTGGAAATGTCAGTCTTCGTTTTTGAGAATACATGCAGTGCTAAAAATAACTCTTTAGACTGCTTCCTAAAGTGCCTTTTGCTGCTTAGAAAGGAAAAAAAAAAAGGTCAGACAACACTTTCTCCTTTGTAGCATTTACTCTGTAGAAGCACTTTATAAATTGACAAGGAAAAGGAAGCTGTCTTTAAGCTGGTAGAATATAAGGTGCTGACAGAGTGAAGGCACCTCCAATTTGGTTGGTATCTGAAGTGCATAGGACAATTGGCCAGGCAGAGGGAGCCTGACTCCAGCTGAGAACGCGTGCACTGGGCTGACCCTCCCAGTCAGCATGCCAGCGGAGATTAGACTTTCCTAAAGTGCTCCCTTGTTAACACAGTCTTTTCTCCGATGTCATTTGTCTTTCAAATGCTTAAAACTGCTACCAATTTTGCAGTAGTCCAGATTGCTTTCCTTTATTCTGTTTGTTGGCCAAGATAATATTTCATCTGCATGCACTGCTTTCTTAATTCTCTGTTGGCTATTTAAATAGTCATGATTAAT